CAGAACCCGCACAGTAGGCTGATGGGGCATAATCAATCCCGTCAAGATCTCATTCTAACTCCTATTAATCAGAGACAGACTTAATTTATGATGTATAAAGTTTTTTATCCTTTCCAAAATAAGTTTACATATTTTACAGTAATTGTTTTTTCTAGATGTGTTGTCCACATACATTACTCATTAGGCTTGTGCATGACCAAGAATGTAACCTAATGAGTTTTCTTTAAAAAGAATGTACCATAGCTTTGCCAAAAGGCGCACCAGATCACTATGCTCCAATTAGAGTAGTTTTATAGTTATCGGTTGGATCCCAAGTAGTGCTCTCCATATCTCTGAGGTCACATCTTCACTTGCTGCACTGGCGATCAATCTTCTGGTTTTCAATTTAGTGAGGGTACGTCTAGACTACAGGCTTCTGTCGACAAAGAGCGTCTACACCACATTGAGTTCTGTCGAAGCAAGCTGTCGACATGGTAGTGTAGACGCAAAGGACAGTTTACATGCAATAACACCTTCTGTCGACAGAAACTCTATGCCTCGTAAAATGAGGTTTACCAGCGTCGACCAAACTGCTGAGTTCTGTCGACGTTATGTCGACAGAACTCAGCGGTAGTGTGGACGCAGGTATAGTTTTGTCGACAAAAGTCCGCTTTTGTCGACAAAACCCTGTAGTCTAGACACACCCTGAGTCTAGTTAACACTCACTAAATCAAAAACTGATTTATCTCCGGTTGGTGCTGGTACTCTCCTCGCAGTTGTGAGAAGTAAGGGAAGTCGACAGGAGCATTTTCTCCCATTGGCTGCCCTCTGTGAAAACAGCGCCAAGCTCAGTATTTTACATAGCTAGAGTTGCATATCTTAACCCAGGGCTACTCAATACATGGCACGTGGGCCATCTGTGGCCTGTTTGTTTGGGGCCCGTTGTGCAGTTTGGATTTGTGCAGGGTTCAACATGCTGCCCACGGGTGGGATTCTTTGAACATGGCCTCCACTAGGAATGCACTCCACAATGGCAAAGTGTCGCCCAGGTGGGGTGAACACTGAAAGACACAAGCAGATGGGCTGGCTGGAATAGATGGGTACAGGTGTTGGCATTTTTAAGTGCTGGGGCATTGTGGGAATTGCTTCGTATTCATGCTGGTCAGTGTGAAAGAAGCAATTTGCATATATATTTGCATGTATGTGCAACCGCACTTAAGTTGTGACCCTTGGCATGTTCTGTGAGTATCATTGTGGCGCCTAGGGCTTCCAAAGTTGAGTAGACCTGCCTTAACCCAAACTTCCATGTCTAGTGTAGACCTAGTCTGAAATGGGTACACTCTGAGAAGGATGCAGTGGGGAGCTGTCTAGTACCAGTGGAGTAAGTCCTAATGTGGATTATGAAATCTAAGTTTGTTAGCTCTTAATGGATGCTAATGAAATTAGATACCCATTTCAACAGCCTGAGTTGAAACAGCCTGACTGTCTAACATGTCTGCAAATGCTAAAAAGAGTCTCTGAGAAACCCTAAACAATCTAGTCCTGTGTAGATAGAAAAAAATGGTTCACGTCCATTCCAATAAGATGTGTGCACAGTAGCCATAAGATTTTTCTCCCAGCAGCTAGCTGTAGTGGTGGCCTGATATGGCACTAACACTGGGCTCGCCAGCCCCTCCCATCTTCATTTCTTTCTTGCTAGCTACTCCAAGGCTACGTCTACACTGGCCCCTTCTTCAGAAGAGGCATGCTAATTTCGAACTTTGGAATAGGGAAATCCGCGGGGGATTTAA